AAATCGCTTAGGCGGTTACAGCGCCAAATAAGAAGAAGAAGAAGTACGAGCATTAAAGTGCTTAAATCGATATAAACAATAAAAATATAATTATAATTTTTGTACATACTTTCAAATTGACCATTTAACATACATATTTATATGATTATGAAACTACAACTTTAGGGGTATTTACTCTCTTCAATTGCGCAACGTCTCGAAAATATCATAACTCTCGAAACATTTAATGAACTGTAAAAATTTATATAAAAAACATTTTCAAGTTTATAAATGGCAGTTTAAGAGAATTTCCCAAATACTTATAAAATGCGATTTAGGGCCGTTTTTTCAAGTGGTTTTTAAGATTTAATTGCACTTTAAAAACAACACTCTAATGTTGGAGAATATACTTGGAATGTATGTACTAGCAATATAGAAGTATTACATATTTGACGTCTGTATATAATTATATGTATATATTGTATGTAGTACTATATACACGAACTTATATCTTCAAATTATTATGACCAAATAAAAGTACACAAGTAAGAAAGTCTAAGTTCGGGCGGAGCCGAACATTAAATACCCGGCGCAAGTATTAAATATATGTTTTTTCACCCTTCCGAAACCTTCCGCTAGATGGTAACCCGAGGTGTATCAATTTTGAGTAAATTAGCGTCCTTCAATTTCGAAATATTGAAGTTTCAAGCATTTCTTAAATTTACCGTTATATGAGAATCGGCCGTTATTTTAGTCCGATTTCAATAATTTTCAACGTTTTGCTTACACGTGGCAAGTACAATAACCATACCGAGTTTGGTACAAATTGGTAGAACGGTTACCGATATACTTATATGTGATCATAAGTGGGCGGTGCCACGCCCATTTTCCAAAATTTTACCATAAACGTATTTCTTGCTAAAGAATTTTTGCAAGCATTAATTTTGAATAAATTAGCTTCAATATTTAATGATTTATCGAAGATTTTGTATTTCTCTAAATTACCGTTATATGGGATGTGGGCGTGGTTATTGTCCGATTTTAAAAAGTTTCGGCGGTTTTTTATGCTGTACCAAGGCCAACAACTGTGCCAAGTTTGGAAGAAATTGGTGCAGCGGTTACCAAGATATACACATGTAACCATAAGTGGGCGTGGCTACGCCCATTTTCCAAAAATTTATAATATTCTTATTTTTCGTCTAAAACTTATTATAAAAATCCATTTTGAGTGTATAATCTCCAGTAGTTACTAAAATATCGCAGTTTTCGTATTTCTGAAAATTACCGTTATATGGGAAGTAGGCGTGGTTATTGAGCGATTTTAAAAATTTTCGGCCATTTGGTATGTTATGCGAAGGCCAACAACTGTGCCAAGTTTGGAAGAAATTGATGCAGCGGTTACCAAGATATACACATGTAACCATAAGTGGGCGTGGCTACGCCCATTTTCCAAAAATTTATAATATTCTTATTTTTTGTCTAAAAATTATTGAAAATATCAATTTTGAGTGAATTATCGTCAGTAGTTACTAAAATATCGCAGTTTTCGTATTTCTGGAAATTACCGTTATATGGGAAGTGGGCGTGGTTACAGTCCGATTTCGCCCATTTTCAATACCAACCTACCTTGGATTAAGGGAAACCTACATACCAAATTTCGTTGAGATATCTCAATTTTTGCTCGAGTTATCGTGTACACGGACAGACGGACAGACGGACGGACAGACAGACATGGCTTAATCGATTTCTTTTTTCATCCTGATCATTTATGTATACATTTGTCTATATCTATCTCGATTCGTTTTGGCTGTTACAAACAACCGTTATGTGAACAAAATTAATATACCCTTGTGCACAAGTGCGCTCGGGTATAAAAATGTATATCAAATTTAATCCATGTTGTTTACTTTTTACCATACTCTTGAATATTATTCCAATGATGGGCAAAATTGTATTTACTGAAGATCAAGTATTCAGTAGAAAAGCTATTTTGGTATTTATGTTGTAGAAAATAATCAAGTACTCAAGTAATTTGGATCTGACAAAAAATAATATTTCGCAGTGCCATAGAATTTCGATGCTCGGTACGGTTCAGGGGAGGCTCGCTTATCAAAAGCCGAATGTAGGGTACTAAGGTGAAAACTTTTAAAATAATATTTTACTGTTGCGATAAGTTCAAGTTTTTTAAGCGATAGTACGATGACCAAACGTCCTGATTTGTCGGAACTTATCTTGGTTTAAGGCTCGAATTGAAGTGTATTCACTGATTTTTCATTTCCCGCCTAATGTCCTGACGTTTACAAAGTTGACCATTTATAAAGTTCTTACTTTAAATATCATTGGAGCTTGTTTGTAAATCGCCCATATAATAATGTTCCTTTACAAAAAAAGTATGCAACCAATAAAGAAAATCGATGGGTAAATAAGAAACGAATTAGTGGTGAAATGAAAATGCGCAACGATTTTGTGTGTGGAATATGACCAGATGTACATGGCGTATGAGTAACTTATTGGTAGCTTAATTTGTTTGTAATACTAGTAATTTTTAGCAAAAAAAAAAACCGACTTCAACTCTCATGATCCACTGATCGGATCTTAACCAGATTAGTATGGGACCACCTCTGAGACACTACCTTTCCGATGCAAAAAGAATTATCGAAATCGGTTGACGTGGTCCAAAGTTATGCGGTAACATACATAAAAAAAAAAAAAAAAAAGATTCCGACGAACTGATAACCTCCTCCTTTTTTGGAAGTCGGTTAAAAACAGGCTTTAACACAAATGCAAAAAATTTACACAGAGTCTGTTATTTTTTTAATTACTTCCCTATAAAGCTAGATTTTGTTTTCAACAGAAAAAAAAAACAGAAAGTCAGGAATGATTCATTAATTTCTCAGAAACTATCAGGCCTATTGAAATTTCGTTAGCTTTCATCTGCCGTATTTCGTATTACATACCTGATTAAGTGGAACCACATTGTTTTAAGCTGAATAACGGTAAATTGAAAGAAGTTAAAAAGTCGTAAGTTCGGGCGGAGCCGAACATTTCACCTTTCCGCTTTCAACTACCGCTACATGGTAAGCAGGGGTGATTTTACCCCTATTTCAAACATCTTCGATAGGATGTTCAGTTAGACATAATGAGATAATAATGTTACTTCTTTTCAAGGGATTGTCGTTATGTATCAATTTTGAGTAAATTAGCGTCCTTAAATTTCGAAATATCGAAGTTTCAAGCATTTCTGAAACGTACCGTTAAATGAAAAGTGGGCGTAATTTTAGACAGATTTCAATAATTTTCAACGTTTTGCTTTTATCTGGCAAGCACAATATTCGTACCGAGTTTGGTACAAATTGATCGAACGGTTACCGAGATACACATATGTATGTCCACATAGTGGGGCGGGGCCACGCCCATTTTCCAAAATTTTATTATAAACGTATTTTTTACTAAATAATTATTGCAAACATCAATTTTGAATAAATTAGCTGTACTATTTACTGATTTAACGAAGACTTTGTATTTCTCTAAATTACTGTTGTTTGGGATGTGGGCGTGGTTATTGTCCGATTTTAAAAATTTTCTGCCGTTTTGGTATATTTTACCAAGGCCAAAAACTGTGCCAAGTTTAGGAGAAATTGGTTATCCGCTGTACCAAGATATACACATGTAATCATAAGTAGGCGTGGCTACGCCCATTTTCCAAAAATTTTTAATATTCTTATTATATATATATATAAGTCATTGTGAATATAAATTTTTAGTGAAAAGCTTCAGTAGTTACTAAAATATCGCAGTTTTCGTATTTCTGAAAACTACCGTTATATGGGAGGTAGGCGTGGTTATTGTCCGATTTTGCCCATTTTGAATACCAACCGTCCTACGCTGAAAAGAAGTAAACATACCAAGTTTTGTTAAGATACATATCTAAATTTTTACTCGAGTTATTGTGTGCACATGCGGGCAGACGGACGGACGGACGGACGAGCGGATGGACAGACAGGCTTAATCGAGTTATTTTTTTCATTCTGATCATTTATGTATACATTTGTCTATATCTATCCCGACTCGTTTAAATATCGAATTCGATAAAGTATCCCTTCCCAAAGAAACGTTTTACAATCCTTTCCTCGAAAGTGACATTTAAATTGTACAATAACTTGTACAATAACTTAAATTTCGACTTGTTAACTTTTCACTATTAGTGTTGAGAACATGGAATGCATGGATATTTTAGAAGGCTTTTCCCGCTCTCGCTGAAGGAGGGTTTAAGCCAGTTTTGTCTCAGAAAGGGAAGCGCTGGAAATTTAAAAAAATTTGTACCATCTTCCTTGCATAAAAACATAAATTGCAATTAGTATCATTTTAAAATTTGGTGCCATTATTTTAACCACAGCTGTATGTATAATATCATTGTGCATCAAACAAATGCTTACGTGCTGAAAGCATCTCACATGCCCATTGTAATGTTATCGCGCCTTTATCGTCGCAATCGCCACGTTGCTCGCAGAAATTACTGGCATTCAGGCATCCAGAAACTTTATGGAAGCGTACTCATACGCGCCTGAACTGCAGTTTCGTCTGCCTCACACCACCTTTGTGCGCTTATTTTGTTGAGAAACAGAAAACGAAAACAGAACCCAAAGACCAGATCATTCCAATACAAACGTGTTAAGTTACTCGCTCCGAAAATTGCAACAGCGAATAAAAAAGTGGTGGACAATTAAGGGTGAAAATGAATTACGTATACGGCTAAATGTGCACTCCGGTTGCGGTACACTTTGGAAAATAACTAAAAAAGAAAAAATGTAATGTACTAAATACAAAATATCTGCTAATGGCATCAGAGATTTTCGAAGAACTAAAACATCGACTGCTATCTTAATGTTAGTGACCACTACTTGAAAAACACTGCAGTGACCTTGAATCCCAATTCAAGTTTGATAGAGAGTTTCCTACAAAAGAACGAATGTTCCTTCAAGTTTCGATCCATCTCATCCCTTAGGGATGTGAGTGCAAAACGAGCAAGCAAGGGTAAAATCGAATTCTTCTAGAATATTACAGTTACCGCACTCTCAATTAAGTACCCGGTGTCCCTAAGCCTGATTGCAGCTCTCGCTAACACAAGGCAATAACCAGAATAATAACCGTCCTATGTGTCGAACTGCTAATTCCGATAAGTACGGCTCGTTGTACGCCCCAAATTTCTGATTGGCGTAGTCGTTACCACTCACTAAGAGTGCAACATCCTCGGCAATCCACGCCTTTTACTGAAATTAATATGGAGGATGCTTAGGCTTTCTGCATGCCTACGTGCGAATGATCGGAAAAGCCTTAGCTAATACATTTGGTAAGTTCTCGTACTTCTTGGTTTGGTATACTATCTCTGAGAACCTTCACAAGCGTATCAATTAATTTTTTTTCCCTTTTTCAGATTTGTAGGGCGCACACAGTAAGTGAACTGCCGAAGCAGTAGCAAATTACAAATTTAATTGGAAGAATGGGATAGCGAACAGAGTGCTCCAGAAGTCTATCGCTTCAATGCTCGCTCGTCAACAGCATAGTGTATTTATTATTTTAGTCGCTTGAATGAAGAATTGTCTGTGTATCACTTTCGAGAGCACCGCAGCTAGTATATAAGCAGCAAGAGACGTCCTCAGAGCTCAGTAAAAATTATGCATTTGAGCAGAATACTACTAAGCAAGTAAAAAACCAGGCAGTAAAACCAAAAATTAAGTGCAATTTTCAAAAAGTTCTTACCAAGAACTGAACCAATTCAAGCAAAGGAAGGAAGGAGAAGATTAGGAGGCAATGAGCAAAGCTACAGATCAGTAAACCAGCAAGATGCCTAACCAATTCCCAATTAAACCACCAGCACAAATACCCTGCGCACACTGGAATCACTTTCCCATGCATCCACGCGTGATGATTGCATTCAGCAGCATAATCAAAGGCTCAGACAGCCCATTACCGCCGCCACCATCACCAGGGTCGTACTCCTATTGCAGTGCCTGCAATGCCATGCAAAAACTGTGTATAAAACCTCAGCGCAGCGCACACGCACAGACATAAAAGTATGTAAATAAATACCTACTTCGCAAAAACCGTTCTTGCCTTGTAATTGGGAAAAGTTGATTGCGGAAGACAATAAATAACGGAAATAAGGAGCGCATACGGTCATCAAGAAGCAGCAGAAAGGCGCAAAGAATTTAACGAGTCAATTACTTCTCCTCAAAAGCGGCTATATCGAATTTGACAAACAATTCCAAATTTATCTACTTAGATGTAATTTAAAAATATAAATTTTTACACCTACCTCAACGTGTATATCGGGCGCGTAACAATTAGGTTTAGAGGGCAACAGCTAAAATGCTTAGGAGTTCGCATTGTTGTGTAGCGAGTAGTACGAGCATTAAAGTACTTAAATCGATATAAACAGCATAAATATAAGTATAATTTTTATATACCGTTATAATGACGTGACTAGATATTTACGTGTACACATGTACATACATACATATACATATTTAACTACAACTATAGGGGGTTTCCATATATAGGGAGTGGGAAAAGTCACGAAAATCTTAAAAGTCTCGAAATTTCAATTGCACTGTAAAAATATATGTGCATATAGAAAATAATTTCGAGTTTGAGAGAGTCCAGTTTTTCGAGTTTGAGAGAGTCCAGTTTTTAGAGTTTAAGAGAATTTCCTAAATACTTAGAAAATAGGACTTATTACTTATTACTTATAACATATATACACACTTGCATGTGCCAATGCAAATGTGATCAGACATTTTATAAGAATTCATTACGAATTTAAACATTTTTTTTACGTACATACATTCATACATAAATACGTACACGCATATTGTAGTATATAAGTACATACTCAGGTTTTTATGTATCTGCAAATTATTATGACCAAATAAATGTAACAAAATAATATCAACTTTAATGAATGTTTCTTTACTTTTTCTCATACTCTTATTAGATATTGTTCTCATATACCAGTGATGGGCAAAATGCCAAGTACTAAGTACAAAAGTATTTATGTTGTTGTAAATAGTTAAGTGCTAATGTACCCTTTAGGGGTTACACTACCCTAACGGTGTAAAAAATTGATTTTTGTTCTGACGCAGAAATTAAATTTAAAAACAAAAAACTTTTATCTTGCACACATACTTGTATGTATATTAGACTGCATCACTTCCCATATAAAAAAAAAGATCGGTACTATGTTTCCATTGGGATTATAAATTCTAATATATTTTAAGACTTAAGACCACAAATGATAAACAAGTTTAAGCTTAAAAAATTTGCATAAATATATTTAAAAAATTTTTCTACTGAATCATAAGAATGAGATTTTTGATACTGTTTTTGAAATTTTTCAAAGATTGGTTTAAGAAAACTTGAATAGGTCAGCCAAAAATTTACCGATTTAGACTTATGAAGAATCATTGGAAGGGTATTTTCTCACACTTCTTACTTATTTGCGAAAAACTCATAAAAAAGAATGTTGAATTAAGAAGTGGTGATATTCGAAAAAAAAATTGCAAAGTAATAAAAAGGGTGAGAAAATACATTTCCACTGATACCTCATTAGTCTAGATTGGAATGGTTTAGGCCCATGCATTCAAATTTTTCTTAAACCAATCTTTGAAAAAGGTTAAAAAACAGCATACAAAATCTCATTAGTAGATATTACGATTCCGTTAAAAAAATATTATATTTTTATGCGAATTTTTTAAGCTTAAACTGTTTTGTCAGCTGAGGCGATTTTTTCAAAAAATTCTTTATGAAACTATCTTTTATTCAATAAAAAGCTCAATTTTTGTAGGTATTTTCAAATCGGTCCAGCTCACGTAAATCTTAATATTTTTCCGAAATATAGTATATTTTGTAATCCCGGCAGAAAAACTGTAACCTTTTTTTGGTGATGCAGTCTAATGTATATATAAAATACATATTAACTATGGTAGTAGTATATATGGCCCTACAGCTAAGTACCATTTCCAAAGAAGAAATTCAAAAAAATAATAAAACATTTGCCCCCTCTTTTCAAGATTCTCGCTGAGCGTTACAAGATGTCTCGGTCGGGTATCGTTTAAAAATTACAAAATATTTATTTTCTTACTTAGGAAGGGTCGTTCCAATTTGGACGGAGCTGAAAGTATGCGGGTATACCAAATGTAGACATGGCGTCGTACAGACAACTTCTCTTCGTGTTATCAAAAGCGCCTTTAAAATCGGCAAAAGTTGGTGGGTGTCGATTTACATACATATTAAGTGGCTTCTTCACGAATTGACGAAGTATAAAAATCTAGTAGATTGCTGAATTTCATGGTCTAAAGCCACACTGATAAGGTCCAATCAGTTTGTTCATGGAGGGTTTCCTACAGTATCATCGATACGGCGAAGTAGCGGAACGTGACCTTAATAGATTTTAAAATATCGTATACACTACTTTTAAAAAAGTCGTTTCGGGAAAAACATAAAATAAAAAGTACCACCTTTCGGCGCCTATCTGCCATTTCAAATTCTAATTGCTGTAACTTCCGTAGTAATTTGAACTTGTTAATGGGGAAGCTTTTAAAATATTCTTAAAAGTTTGGAGAATTTTCGAAGCTAAATTAAAAATTTTTAATTTTGTTCAGGGTGGTGTACCTCTTAAGTATTTTGCATGTTAGTAAATATAGAGTACGATAGTATTTGCACAGTTTTTGTGAGCTAAATACTTTTAATAAATGTACATATTTACTTATTTTCATAGCGCTTAATACTAACTAAATAATAAATAGTAGATACTACTAAATACTGACAATTTTGGGAATAGTTAGCGACTAGTGATTTGAGGACCACGCTGGGGCTGTTTCGGGAACATTTTGGGTCTAATTCACGACCATTTCGGGATAGCTCACCACTATTCAGGAACATGTCAGGAATAATTTGGGGTCAGTTCGGAACTGTTGCAAGACTTTTTCGAAATACTTTCGGGACATGTTCACGACTTTTTCAAAACCACTTCAGGACAATATTTGGATAAGTTCGGGATCACTGCAGGCAGTTAACTCACAAAATCGTCCTGAACTATTCCCGAAGTGTTTTCATAACCATGTCATGTACTGGTCCCGGCAGTGAATGAATAAAATGAAGTGAAATTAATGTTTAGTATCTAACCTAACCTACTTATGTACATATGTGTGAAACTAAATCGTTTTACCAAGCCTTATACAGATGTTTACACATAAAATTTCATGAATACCTGGTAGGTACTCACGATTTTTTGTTTTTAACATGGCATCTGTAACCATCTTTGTGAAAATGTTAATGTTTAAGTACTTCATTTTTTATACGCATATAAAAGCCTGGTAGCACAGCCGAAATTAAATACTGCCCAGCAAAAACTTTGATTCTTTGGTAAGCGCTTACTTTTTGTATCGATGGAGTAACGCATTACAACCCGCCTCAAGACAAAATTTTTCACTTTCTCGATTCACCACATACCCTCTAATACCTGGGCATATCATTGGAGGTAAGCGAAAAATTAAAAAAAATGCCTAACAGCTACTTTATATCCATGTACATATATCTGCAGATAATTTTAATACATACATACATGTATGTACATATCGTCGTCTCAGAAAACGGATGTCGAATGTTACAAAACACGGTTTTGAGAAAATTGACTTTGAAGTTTAAGGTCGAATTAATCCGAAACTGTACGGTAGATTTTTGTAACTTTTGAAGGAGACGTAGTTGGTGTTATTAGTTTTGATTTCCCATATTTTTACATATAATATCTCTTAACGTTAATGAGAAAATTTACTTTTCATTCCGTATACATTTGTCGTAAGTAGCGTTTACTCACCACTTTGTTTTGTCCACAGAACATACGACAATAGTAAAGTATCTATTTCAACGACGATGGTATAATTTGATGAAAAAAACAGACATATTTATTAAATAATGATTACTTATTAGAAAAAACATAACAAAAACATAATCATGTATTTAATAAAAAAAAATCTGTACATCTCTTATGCTGTAAATATGTTACGAACATACGTTTTCTTTATATAAAAACAAAAAAACAATACTTAAATTCAGTCTTTTGTACATTTTTATCTCTTTCATTTCATTGGAGACTCAGTGCAAGCTAAAATTTAAAAATTTAAAATTTTAAAATTAGTTACTTAGTTTAATTTTCAATTTTAATTGTATCGTTATAGTAGAGGACCATCCAATTGTCGTAAGTTCAAAGTTTTGCGATACATACGACAAATGTTTTATGATTAAAAAAGGATTACATTTGTATGGGAATTTGTCGTATGTGCCACATACGACAAACGTTGTATGATTAAAAAAAAGGTACGTTTGTATGGGAATTTGTCGTATGTGACGCATTTTCAGCACATACAACAAAAGGCGTACCCAATCATTAATATTATGTAACATACGACAAAATGCGCACGAAATATCTCAAAGACTAATGGAGATATAAAAAAATGGATTGCAGAAATCGAAAGAGCATGTCCAACTTAATAAATCTGCATCAAAATCCCAAAATCGTGATTTTGCACATTCGTCATCCGTTTTCTGAGGCGACGATATGCAGATAATTTTAATACATACATACATGTATGTAATGGGTGATTTTTTAAGAGCTTGATAACTTTTTTTTTAAAAAAAACGCATAAAATTTGCAAAATCTCATCGGTT